GCTGGCTGGGGATTCTTACCTCCACCTGGATGGCAAGAAGTTGACAGTCATGCTCACAGTTGTTCTCTGACCTCCACATGTGTACTCTACCGCATATGTGCCTACACTCAAGAAGAAACACACACATCCACATTTCCCCCACCCCCCTCACATACACAGACACACAGACACACAGACACACACACACACACTGAATTTGTTCTATTAAATTACTATGTTTGTTTGCTTTAGCTTTTGGAAACAGTTTAAACCAGATTGTTTGCAATCAGAAGATCCACTGAGCTCTACATGATGCTGCAATGATTTCAACCTAGGGCAGAGGGGAAACACTTCCCCTGGTGGTGTACTAAGAACACTCTTATGACAGAGGCTAAGAGCCCAGCCTGTGATGGATCCAAAAACAAGCCTCAAAGGCTGTAACTGGTGCAAAAGTTAAGGTTGTGATTGACCTACACAAAGTGCTGTGACTAGTGAGAAACTGATGGCTTCCCTCAAGTTTCTCAGGAATGTTGCTCTGCCTCACCAGGTCAGCTCTATGCCCTCCTGTGCTGCTTCCCATGGTGTTTCAACATCAGTATTAACAACGACTTCCCTGAAGTAGCCTGTTCTTGCCTGCTCTAAACCTTGGCTGGGTTTTTTGATGTGGGAGTGATTTCGTATTAATAAAGAAACTGCCTAGGCCCCTTGATAGGCCAACCCTTCGTTGGGTGGAGTAAACAGAACAGAATGCTGGGAGAAAGAAGCTGAGTCAGGGAGTCACAATGATTCTCCCATTCCAGACAGACACAGGTTAAGATCTTCCCTGGTAAGCCTCCTCGTGGGCTACTCAGATTATTAGAAATGGGCTAGTCCAGGTGTGAGAGTTAGCCGAGAAAAGGCTAGATATAATGGGCCAAACAGTATTTAAAAGAATACAGTTTCCGTGTAATTATTTCGGGGCATAAGCTAGAGCTAGCTGGCGGCTGGGAGCTGGGGCAGCAGGGAAGCGGCCCGCAGCTCCTTACAACAGTTTTTTTTTTGTTTGTTTTTTGAGATATGTTTCTCTCTGTGTATCCCTGACTTAAATAAAGTTAAATGAGTTCATTACTATTGCCCAGCTGCATGTTTTAAACTATTTTCTTTCTTTTTCTGTCTCTCTTTTGAGTGCTTACCACAGTATTCCACTGTGATGAAACTACTTTACATTTCCTCACCACAGTGAATAATGACATCAATTTTCCCAACATTCTCATCCACACTTAACATTTAATTCTTACTGGGGAAACTGCTTTCTTAGTGTGTTCACCATGTGGGTAGAAGGTGATGTCGCATTGGTTGTAATTCCCCAACCCCTCACATGTCTTCTTCTAAACATTGTTCATGATCTTCCAGTCACATTTTGAATTGCACAGTGCCTTATGATTTTTCTAGACAACCAGACACAACGCTCCAGGTAAAAGAAGTACAGAGTTAGACCTTTATTTTGCTGGTTAGGTGCAGGGTCAGAGAAGTGTGATAATGTCTCTCAGGCTGTTTGTGTCCTTGTGCTCTGACCTTAAATTCCCCATTGTATCTTCAGTTCTTCCCTTCCATGTGGAGGGAGTGGCTACCTAGAGCAGCTGCAGTTGGGCATTTCCCTTCAACACAGAAGGCTAGAGTCAACTAAAGGTGATTTTTCCTTCTCTGTTAGGAAAGGTGAGCTGAATAGAGAATGTATTTCCTATCCCCTGGTGAGTTGGGCTGTAATAAATTTACTCTTATATTTGTTCTTTTTTTCTTTTTCTTTTTTTAAAAAATATTTATTTATTTATTTATTTATTTATTTATTTATTTATTTATTTATTATTTATTCAGTNAGACTTCATTACAGGTGATTGTGAGCCAGGATGTGATTGCTGGGTATTGAACTCAGGACCTTTGAAAGAGCAGGCAGTTCTCTTAACCGCTGAGCCATCTCTCTAGCCCCTTATATTTGTTTTTAAGGTTTGTTGTTGTTGTTGTTATTATTATTTTAGGACCTCTTCTTTTAAAAGCAGAGTGATTAGCCATAAATTTTAAAAATGGTTTTCTTCTCCCGCATACGCACAAAGGCTTAGCAGAGTCATAAGTGGATGATGCAACCAGGCATATGTGTGGGTCAAGTGGGCCCTGTAACATGTCCGGGACCAATAGGCAGTTCTTCCTGATGGCTTGTCGGCACATGCATGGCCCTAGAACCCGGAAGTGTCAGCCTTATTGTGGCTGAAATCATAACATGCTCACTACTCTATTTTTATATATCAAATAAAGAGTAGGCAGATTTCTTCCAAATCTGTAAGCAAGACAGAAAGTGTAACCCAAGGAATCAGACAGAACTGGCTCCTGGGACCACACGACCTCTCACATAGGCTGTGGCATGGATGTGCCCCCTTCAGTTGTAAGTAAACTAGTTTTTCCTGGCTGATAGGTAACTCTTCCATGTTTCCAATAGGTGAATATGGCTAGGGGATATAATTATTTATTATTCAGTAAAATACATTTTTCAAGGAAGAAAGTTGGTTTTTTTTTCCATCACTGCTTTCCTATAGCTCCTGAGAGTCAGGGCAACCAAACTGCAGTTACTTCTGGAATCATTACAGTAATAGTAAAGGCCCTTCAAGGAAAACTCCTGGTCAAGTATACAATCTCTGACCTACCTGGCGGCCTACAATTCCAGCAATTGCTATGTCACACAAAGCTCTCTGTCTTCCTTCTTTTTTGCGGGGGTGTGGTAAGGGAGCAGACTTCAAGAGTAGTTCCAGCATCACAGGAAATCTCAGTGGAAAGTACAGAGACTTTTGCATTTGCTGTTCTTTCCTGGATCCATTTCCCTAAGGTCAACACCCTACAGTGAGTAAGTGAGAAGCACACATGCCCGGTGTAGGAATAAATATTGACTCTGTTATGAACCTGAGCCTGTCTCCTTTTGGAAGTGTGTCTTCTGTGGGTCTGGAATCATGGACACGTACTTGTGTTCACCCTCACTTTGTTACACACTGTGGCCTCACTGCCTAACCGACCCTGGGTTTCCAGTGCTATGTCTCCCCAACCCAGACTAGGAGTCTGGCCCTGCCTATGCCTTTCTTGGGCTCCCCAACTCCAAGAACTGCTGCAGACCTGGGTAAGAAGAGGACTGTAGGTCCTTATCATTGGGCTAGAGTTCACTCTGTCCTCATTTCTGTGCCAGTCTTTACTGTCCTTATCATTGGGTCAGGCTACACTTATGATTTATTATCTCTGCCTCAGAATCATGGGGTTAGAGGAAGAGGCCTCCAGCTAGGGGAGGGGTTGAAAGCCCTTGGGGCGTAGTAAAGTCCCTTGTGTTAACAGTTTCACTTCAAGACAGAGCTCTGAAGAGAAACGAAACACAAAGTTAGTCAGTAAATTAGAAGTCAGGCTTCAGATGGCACCACCCGGACTGCCATGGACTCTTGTCCTGTTCCTGCAGGATTTTATGATCAGGAGATTGAAAGAGAGGGGGGAACTGAGGGCGCAGGGATGAGAGTGGAAGGGGAAGGGAGAAAGGGAAATAAGCAGAAAGAGAGATAGAGAGGGAGAAACAGAATTGAGAGAGAATAGAAGGAAGAAAGAAAGAAGAGAAGCAGAAGAGGCTATACAGAGTATGACAGGGAAAGGGATCAGGATTTGAAGATTTTGTGTGGGTTTATGGAAGACAGGGTGTGCTACTAGCTAGATTGAAAGCCTTCCATGACTTTGTTTTAAGCTGCCAGGCATTGCCTTAGATCAAGAGAATGAGGAAGAATTGAATGAGTACCAAAACCAGGAGACTCCATTAGTTAAGAAAGACACTAGTGAAAGATTGCCTTCACCTTAGACAGAAAAAAAAAAATTGGTTTTGGGTTACATTTAGCTACCTCCTATGCTACAAAACCTCAAGAGATATACTCTTATATTCTTCTTTTGTACCTCAAACTTGTGCTGATGTCTGAGTAAATAATTACTTATATAACAAGACTTTCTTGTCAAACTTTTTCTGGGGGACTGCAACCTTCCAATAATGACATGGAGACATTATTAATTATGAGAGTTTAGCCTTTAGCTTAGGCTTGTTCCCAACTAGCTCTTATAACTTATCCCATTTCTATTAGTCTTCATTCTGAAATGTGGCTTTTTACCTCTTGTCCATTCTGTATGTCCAATTCCCTCTGTGTCTCACTGGCATCTCCTCCTTTCTTACTCCCAGAGTTCCACTCTCTCCTCAGAAACCCTGCTTATCCTCTCCTGCCTAGCTATTGGTCATTCAGATTTCTATTAAATCAATCTGGTGTCTTAGGCAGGTGAGGCAAAACATAGACATATGTTCACGTAGTATAAACAAATAGCCTGCAGCATACCTGGACATACGAATATCTGGGCGACACTCATCTCCAACTACATTGACAGTTGAATGCCCCAAATACCT